AAAAATTATGATAAAGGGAAAGATGAGAAAGAGGAAAAGGAGAAAGAAAAAGAGAAGGAGGAACAGCAACAGAAAAAGGAACCAGAAAATACTTATCTGACCAAGAAAAAAGAAACCCCCCATACGTCTGAAAAAGAAGAAAAGACAACAGTGAGAGTTGAAACAACTGAATCCAAGCCCTCAGCTATTGTAAGTGATTTATCTAGTAGACTACAGTATTTCAAAGATCTGGAGAACAAGCGAAAGGCTCCGAAAATTGAGACAGAGGCTCAAAAAGCTTGGGAGCCAGCTGAAAAGAAGCCAGACCTCTCTGAGAAGGACACAGCCGATACTACGGCACCTCCAAAAAACCCACCTGTAAACATCACTTCATCAGAAAAAGAACCCAAGAAGCCAGATATCGCTGCAAAACTGGCAGAGCTCTCTCGAAGACCTTCAACATCAAGTTCAGTCAAGCCGTCATTAATAACTGCAAAGCCTTTTGGAAGTTCCCTGAAGCTTTCAGAGACATTACAACCCCACAGAAAGGAGAATGAGACCGAGGGCCAAAGGAAAGATGACTCCAAGTCTGCAAAGCCTCCTCCATCACCCAAGATGATCAAGAAGGATCAGATAAAGCTCAAGTCCCTGACTCTTCGTCGCATATCCTGTGGCGACGATGGCCTGGGGAAAGATGCAACAGATGCTGAGAAGAGCGAAATGAAAAAGAGCCGCTCTCACAGCTCTTCAACGTTAATGCATGAAGAGTCTAAGGAAGGACTGCACAAGGTTATGGGTTCTAATACTTCATTAAACACAATTGGTAAGGGAAAGGGTGAAGATAAAACGCTTGAATTCCTGAAGAAACAGACTCAGAGGTTAAAGGGGTTCCTGGGGCCAAAGGATAAAGAGAAGAAAGCCTCGAGCGATGACAAGGGCATGAGTACAGTAATGGAGGTGTCGGACGATTCCAGTAAAAAGCAAGGCTCCTCAGCAAAAGTCACGACATCCACAACTGCTGAACAGCCGGCCACCAATCATAAAGAATCAGCTGGGAAATCGGGACCCTCGCGCTACCAGGCCCAGGGAAGCTCTGCTCTGTACAGCAGCAACCTGCGGGACGACACTAAAGTCATTCTGGAGCAAATCTCTGCCAACAGCCAGAAAAACCGCCCAGAGCGAGAAGAAACTGGAGGAGACAAAGAGAGTGGTGACACGGACAAAGGACAAGAGACAGAGAAGCCCTTTAGGAAGAATCGATTTCTGCGACAACCGGGGAACACCCAGGAGAGGGAGGGGCTTCTGAAGAGGATAGAGAGTCTGAGGAAGGAGAAGAAGGTCTACAGCCGCTTTGAGGTAGATAAAGTCACCAGCACTGACAGAAATATTATATAGTGAAAAGCTTTAAGTATTAAATTACTTAATTAAGAGAAATTAAAACCATAAAGATTTTTATGGATGAAATGGAAATTTTAATATCTGCTCTTTTTTTAAATGTTTAATAGGCTAAATGATTAAGTTAATGTGTTCTACCTAATATATAGTGATATCCAAAAGTGTTTGCTCCCTCACATATCTTATAAATGGTGATTTAATTTTTCACTTATGTGAGAAAAGAACTACCCCCTGAACCTAGGAACTGGTTGTGCAACAAATTCTGTTTTTCACAGCCATCTTGGATTTAGTCTTAGTCTTCAGGACGAAAACTATTATTAGTCTTAGTCAATTTTTAGTCATTATGCTATGTGATGGTTTTAGTCGGTTTTGGTTGACAAAAACTTAAAAAGTTTTTAAGTCTAGTTTTAGTTTTATGTTGCAAAAAAAAAGTTAACCTTTACAATTTTGAATAACAACCAGATTCCTTTCCAGACTGAAAGCCGTAGCCTCGATACTACAATAGCTGGGTATAGAATGTTGCCGTGCAGTTCACCGTTGCTGTTGGGCAGAAAACTTTGATTTATAGAATTCAAATAAACCTTTTTTATGAATTAATGCTCTACTTTATAAAAAAAGTTTCTCAAAAAGTTGTGAAAATAGCAGATCTAGTTCAACACATATTTAAACATACAAGGTTTCCATTGTAAAGTAAAAACTTCCTTATCTACTATGAATTATACATTACGCACAAATTAACCAATCTTCATTGCCCCAAAAAAGCAAAGAACAAAAACATTCTTCTTTCTACTTTGGCAATTTTGGCTTTTTTCTGAGAATTTGCCCCTTAGTTACCACTGCTCAGGGGTCAAAGTAGATTTAAATTAACAGGGTTTTGAAAGGTAAAACATACAGAAAGAACGTACATAATTGTCTTTAATGCCATGGCAATCCAGACCTAATTGAATTCATATTTTAACTAAAATGTTGACATATTTCAAGGAAACAGAGAAAATGTTTGGATGACAACACAAGGAAATATTTACATCATATTTAAATAGATAGAAACGAGAACAATGGGAGAGAAATATTCAAAGATCTATGTAGCTTTTCATTGGGCTCTATCAAAAAATCAACATAATTCAGTGAAATATTTTATTTGGATATAATGTAGGGATTCCTTTTTGTAGAAATTAAAGTATGTTTAGTATCACCTCTTGTGAGCTGGAAGAAATAAAATCTTGATAGTTAGACAAACGATGTTTACGCTTGGCAGAGAAGGATCAGCAACATAGTTTATTAAGTAGCGATGGAAGAACCATACTGCTGAGAGTGAACCATAAGGGATGGAGCGTGAAGTGCGGACTCGGAGCTCCACGTGCAAAGATGCATTTCTACACAAGCACAGATAGAAGATCAGAGCAGAGCTTGTTAGAGTTAAGCGTGCAGTACAGACCATTCCGGGTTATTTTCTCTGACCCTCCCGCTGCTGCCATGATCCATCTGTGCTTCTGCAGCGGCTGATACTGATTAGTTGATTACAGCACAATGATGCATTTTAAACGTCTGACCAATGACCTGCTAATTTTCATTTAGTCCCGTCTCGTCTGACTAGTCATGTTTTAGTCATCAAAGATCCATGTTTAGCTCGTCAGTTTTCGCTATTATCAATGAAAAAAAAGGAGCGTCAACGAAATGATTTTGTCATCATCATTGTTGATCAACACTGTGCAACCCTTGGCAGCAGCAACTGCTATCAGCAACATCTAGCATTAAGTCGATAACACGGCTGTGGAGGATTTTGTGGTTTGAACTTTATTGCTAAAGTGTTTAAATTAATCTACATTGAATACTTTGCATCTGAACAGCAATATTTTGCAGCAGCATCTAAATCTGAACTTTGACTAGTAAATCCACAGTAAATCATGGATTCTGCTTCTTTTTGTTGTTGTTAGGGATTGATCAAATGGGCTTTTTTGTTATTTTTGGCCAGCAGGTGTTTTTATCTCAGATCTAACCCACAGCTGTTGTTTTTCCCCCTTAATCCATGGGATCATAATTTAAAATATTATTTTTGTATTCACTTGGGAACTTGGAGACATAGGGCAGACAGAATCAATGTCTCTGCTAATCCTGTTGCTCTGTTAACAGATGGGGAACAGTCTGGCATAACTAAAGGTGGAGTTTCAACCATTTATGAGGGAGCTATCGATGCAAGCCGATCAACTAACAGCCATTGCCAACTTGTGCCAACAACAATCACTCCTCAAAGAACTTCGGTGTGCACAAGCTGCAGCCTTTTCTGGATTTACACACAAAGAAATAATAAAACTTGGAGAGATGATATTGAAAATGCTGAAAACAACCTGAAGTCACTGGGTTTGGAATGTGCCTCTTCGCCAAGAACTGGTACCCCTCTTTTCCTTGTATGGTGACTGAGAGACAAAAGTGACTAGCATGCTGGCAGTGTTGGCTAATGCTTCACAAAGCTTGTATGAACGTGACTGGGGGACTCAAGGATGAAAACAAACCGTCTGCACATGCTGGAGCAGACAGAAAAATAAAAACGCCAGTCCAAAATACGCACAGCAGTATTCTGCAGTAAGTGTATGGTTCTTTTGTTTCTGGAGATGTTTGTTTGCCTGGGACTAGTTTGCCGATTAACAGGAGAAAGTGTCCTTATGGTTTCACTGTATGCCAATTGCTCATCGAGGCCCTTACCCAAGTTGGAGATCTAAAACAATGACGTAATGCCAATGAAATAAAGTGCGTAGTACTGTTGAAATAAAGAGAATAAGGTGTGCATAAATATGTTTGTTGAAGATAAAATTGCATTAGCTAGAGTTTTTTTTTTTTTTTTTTATAAAACCCAAAGCCGTAAAATTTATCTTCGTTAAGATGTGCACCCTTTCCACAGCTAAAGATGTCAAATAACAATTCAGTGCAGGGCTTTTTCTGTTCACTACTGTATGCTTGCTGGCTTTACTTCTATGCAAATCAAATGTAAATGATTTACAGTTGCTCTGAGTCGCTGTGAAAATTGTTTTGTTGGCATGTTACCTATTCTTCTCTGTGTTCTCAGTTTTCAGTGAGGCATTACCTCTAAGAGAGAAACAAGGGAGAAAGGTCTGGGTGTATTTATTGCACAGTTCTGGAGCAAAGCCATGCCACCTTGCAAAACTCGCTTCACTTTTAAAGCCTACGCCCTAAGCAGGACTCCTGGCTATTTTGTTGGCCTGACCACAATAAAAAAAAAAAAAAAAAAAAAAAAAGAACTAGGTGATTGCTTATAACCTAAAGAGGGAAATAAAATATTTGGTGGAGTTCATCTGAATAAAGGATTTACTCCAAAACGGACGGTTTAAAGTTTACGCGTTTGTGATTCACCATTCTGCTGTATATATTTATATATATAAAAAAACTTTTTCATGTTTTCCATATTCATGCACTGTAAAAGAGATTTAATGGTGTTTATTTTTTAAACATGAGTATGGATTCGCTCTTGTTAAATATTGCTGACGTTAATGAGGGTGATTCAGTTGCACAGGGTTATTGTGCTCTTAAAAGTGGAAAAGTATCACACTGTTTTCAATTTCTGAAAAAAAAGTATTTAATTAAATGCTTAAAAAAGATTTTAATTATGGCTGTGTGTATATGAATTATGAGTTACTATTTTTGTTGTTGCAGATAAAAAACAAACTTCAATTTTTTTTTTTTATATGTTTAGTGCAGACTTCAACATTTGTATAGATAAACAATATGAACAGGTTACCGAACAGAAAAACCTGACACAGATCAAAAAAATAAAACAGGTTTGGGATTAATAGATGCCACATTAACACACACCACAAGCCCCAACAACAATTTAAAAGGGAATTATCTCAGATAGTTTAGAAGGAATCACTACAATAAAGGATATTTTAACTTTATAGAGATAAACAAACAAAGCATCTGGTTCAGAATAATGCAAATTCCTATCGTCCTGAAAGTAGCAACAACTCAGCAGGTTTACTCTGCCATCTGTGCGGCTCCAGCCTCCAGGTGCTTCTGTTTCTTCGCCTCCGCTAACTCTTCGCTGAGTTTGTCCAGCTGAGCCAGCTTCACTTGTTCTATCAAAGACAGTTTCTTTAAACACCACATGCATGCATGACAACTGATTCACCACAAATATGCTCACAGATGACCGTGGGAACCCTTACCAGCTGATAAAAGCTGATATTTTGCGTTTTCAGACTTCTGCAATTCATCGGGAAGTCTCTTTGGATTCTAAATAACAATTTTTAAAGAGATAAATTTGGTTATTTTAGTTATTAGTTGTTTAAATATAGAGAAAGGTAATAAAGCCAACTTACAAAGCCAAAGTCAAGTTGCTTGTGCTGCTCTATCAGTTGCAGAAGTTGATTTTCAAATCTCATTCTGTGGAAATCGGGATGTTTTTGTAAGTTTTTTATGGTACAGTTAAAGTCAGCATTCTGGGTGCCATTAATTACCACTTCATGAATACGTACCGGAGTTTCCTGTGTTTCAGCTTGACTTCCTGGATCTCACATCTGTGCTGCTCCATCAACTTTTCAGTCATCTTGGTCTGATTTAACTGCCTTCAAAGCACATTTTAGCAAACTGGATATATTGAAATTCATAATTTTATTTAAACTAAAGGAGATCACTTAACATGCAAGAGTTAAAACCTTTGGTGGCAGATTTACTGCTTCTTTAAAAGCTCGAAAAGGTCTTAAATTTGTTCATCATTGCTGTGACTTTCCAAAACTATTAGATTTCCAATAGTCCCCCTAAACTCTCTATATAAGCTAGAATTCCTAGTTTTTTATTACTCGTTGTGGCTCTCTGGAGAAAACATGCAATCTCCACAGGTCTGCAGAGTTGAGATTCCAACCTCAGACATTCTTGCAGGAAAGTGGCGGATCTTTCCATCCTGCTACTACGCTGCCTTTTTTGTTGCAGCTTTCCTGCAAAGAATTCTCATAAACCTTCCTTCTTTACACGGCAGAGTTACAACAAAGTGCGTCACAACAGCTATTGCTGTATTTCACGACAATGCCAGGCAGCAGGAAGTCCTAGTAATTTGCTATCAGATGGTAAAGAAAAATGTTAGCAATAAAGTAGGCTGGACTGGTGGGACATGCAGTCATCTTACAGCAAGATAATGACCAAAACACCAACTCACCAAGCTTGTTTGGGCAACAAACAAAGGAGAGATGGCTAAAAATATATGTTTTATTTTTAGTTTTTTATATTACAAAATACATTTTCTTTTATAACATCTTTGTTAAACAAAACAAGTTTGTAAGCACTGGTTAAGATAATGTGTATTATTGTCTGTAATGTAGACTGTATATATATCAAACGTATCTTAGTATCAAATAAAGTTAACTTAAGTAAAATTAGGTTTTCATTTATGAAAAGGAAAAACCTGTCTGTACTGACTCAGGCCTTTGAGATTAACTTGGTGAAGAACCAAGCACTCACAATGTTAGCTTGGTGCCATAAAGCAGCTCGCCTTGTTGTTCTGGATTGTGCATTTCTTGTTTATCGGAATTATGTCACGTTGTATCGAACGACCTGCCACCTTTTTTTTTTCAGGTGTGGTTTTGATTTTAATAACCTTTCTGGAGATGCAGTTCCTGCTCAGCCTCTCTATCTTTTTTTTATTTTAGTCATAAACACTGACCTTACTAAATGGAAAGGAATTATGCAGGATTTCAGATGTTGTCCTGTTTTATTTTCTGATATCCTGAAAGAGGTTTCAAAGGGTTTATGAGGTGGATTTGGTTGGCTGACAAGTCCAGGGAAGGTACACCCTGTTTCACCTTCTCTCCATTTGTGGTTAATGGTCCAGACCTTCAGATATGACCCTGTTAACCTTTCCTGGCCAGCAGGTTGGTATGACATGTTGTTAAATGAGATCTTTTCTGTTTGGGGGATTTATTGATTCTAATGATCTGGCAATCATCAGATCTTTGTGAAAGAGAATCAAGAATATATTAGGCTAAGAATTTGACAAAGGGAACATTATTTATAATTCTATACAAAAGTGGTTGGCTTTGGATAAATTCATTCTTTTAATAAAGGAACTTCTAATTTAAAGCTATATTGTGAATCACTCTGACCAACCCTTGGTATTGTAATATTTTTTTTCAAATAAAAAAACGATCTATATAAATGTGAAAACATGACAAGGGGTGTTTTTGAATGCTGTAGAAATAAATACTACAAAAGTATATTAAAAAAAAAGCAAAAAAAAAAAAACAAAAAAAAAAACAACGAAAATACAAATATGATCCAGCCATACTATCAGACAAAACCTTCTGATGTGGAAGGTCACTGCCATCTAGTGGTAGAAATACTAAACCATGAAAAGTAAATAATGACAGGTTTTAGTTTTAGGTTAAAAATTTGTATAAAAATAGCAATAATAATAAACATTTTTACCTGTCAAGTTCTTGTTCAGACTCTTCACACTGCAGCTGCAACTTTCTGCACATCCCTGACATAACAAAAGAATATGAATTACCCTCTATCTATCTATCTATCTATCTATCTATCTATCTATCTATCTATCTATCTATCTATCTATCTATCTATCTATCTATCTATCTATCTATCTATCTATCTATCTATCTATCTATCTATCTATCTATCTATCTATCTATCTATCTATAGGTATATATATCTAAATATATGTTTAACCCCACTGCACCTTGTTTATATTCATGTATTCCTTCCAGTTCATTAACTTCAGTGAGCACTGAAAAACAAGAGCAATCCATGTGTTATATGTATTCTAAAAATTAACATTTGTCTTAGATCAATTTTTACAAAGATAGATATTTAATTGAATGCTGGCACGTTATATTCTCTAAAATTAATTTAGTGACTTACAAGCTTTCAGGTCGTTTAATAGTACGTCACTGGTAGACTTGGCGACTTTGATTTCCTCATCTAGATGTTTTCTCTCTATTAGAGAGACAGTCAACGATATATCAATTGACTTATATTCTACAATCTTAAAATCAGAATGGCTCAAGTAGGGTGTTGCAGTTCCCTACAAGAGGGAGATACTAATCATATCTCATGAACCTCCATTCATCATGTTCTGAAACTCCAAAGATGGAGTAACAGGTAAGGATGTACCTTACTGACAACACCATCCTGACGTCACCAGAAACTATATATCATGTGCTAAGACCAAACTCACTTGTGGTTGCGTACAATTATTACTACGTCTTCAATAGAACATGTCGGTACACACTATTAAAATTTAGTAATGTCCGAAAAATGCTTTTTTGTGTGGGTGTTTTGGTGAAACTTGCTTTAATTCATCTTAAAGTAAAGGAAACGCGTCTTCATTTACATAATGTCAGCACAACGTGGATTCTTATTGGTACAATACATAAGAAGGATTTCTATAAAATAGCATCCAATAATGAACGCAATTTTCGGTTAAATATGACGATGTATCTTTTTTAGAAACATTGTGAGGCACGTGCTTCGCAGTTTAACCGTTTTATTCTGTTAAAATAAACTGTAACAAAGAGCGGATGTGTCTGTTTACAAAGATAAGCCGGTGTATCAAGATGGTTCCCCTACGTCTTTCATAATTTACGAAAGTTGACTTGTTCGGCCAGTATGTGCAGTTATTTGTAAAGAATACCTGCTTATGAGGTCATCAGTAGTAATTGATGACTAAAAAGTATTGTAAAATTACAGAAATACAGTAAACTCTGTAAATTAACGGAAGTATGAGGGCAAGGCTTTTTGGGAACGCCACGCACGCGCAGCACTTAGCTTGAAAACCAAACAGGAAAAACGAAACAGTGCATTTACTAGGTTTAAATATACGCCTTCAAAAACAGTTGTAAAAGCAGATTATTAAAATCTAAACTGAACAATTTAATATTAGTTTTAAACAAAAGTGAAAACAATCGTTCTCCTTTTATCCCAAATACATTGCTATTGAATTATGACCAATATAAATTGTCGCGTCGTCTTCATTAACCACATTTACAATAACACAACAAAGATGAGAAAGTGATAAAAATCTTAAAAAGATATACCTTGTTGAAGCATATTTAGCTTGGCCCTGAGCTGTTCAATCTTGGGCTCCGGCAAACCTCCACCTAAAATATATATAAAATATATTGAAATATGTTTGTTGTCGATTCAACTTTTGTATTAATCAATAATCATGTCTACAATGCTCAATTATTTACTTAACAAGTAAAAAATGCATTTAAAAAAAGTATTTTGATTTACGTTTCACCAAATGCTAGCTTAAAATGTTAGCATAGTGGCTACTCCTATCAGTACAGTGGTGTTATTAGCTAACATTAGCGATGGAACTGAAACCTAAATTAGTTTAAGTTCTGAAACAATTGATAACAAAATCTTAATTTTAGAATATTCGATAGAAAAATACACTTTTTTTCTGATTGGATATTGTAATAACGTAAATCAAAAACCGTTAGCTTATTGAAATCTAAATGTACAACTGAAAACTCCATCATCATAACTAATGTATTTTCAGGCTGGTAGAATTAATATTAGAAAATTATAAATATTAGAACTATACGCCATATATATGCAAATCATACCGCTGAGTTCGCTCATGGTTATCCAGCCTGTGTTGAGACTCGGTACAACACTTTCACCTGTAGCCTAGGTAAGGAAACCAGGATAATTACAATGTATCCAAGCTATATTTATGTACGGAAGAGGATTAGGCCAACTGAAAAAAAAAGCAAAGTTAACTGATTTTTAAATTTTAATTCATTATAATATGAGCAAAAAAGTCAGAATTCTGACTTTGATCTCAGAATTCTGATTTATTTCTCAGAATGCTGACTTTAATCTCAGAATTATGACTTTTTTCTTGGAATGCTGACTTTAATCTCAGAATTATGACTTTATTCTTGGAACGCTGACTTTAATCTCAGAATTATGACTTTTTTCTTGGAATGCTGACTTTAATCTCAGAATTATGACTTTATTCTTGGAACGCTGACTTTAATCTCAGAATTGTGACTTTAATCTAAGAATTCTGACTTTAATCTCAGAATGCTGACTTTTTTCTCAGAATTGTGACTTTATTCTTGGAACGCTGACTTTAATCACAGAATTGTGACTTTAATCTAAGAATTCTGACTTTAATCTCAGAATTCGACGTTTTTCTCAGAATTCCGACTCTAATCTCAGAATTGTGACTTTAATGATACAACCAAGATCTTTTCTGGCAATCATTTTGACCTGAAAACTAACAATATAAAGTAGATTTGAGCAGATATTTTTGGTTCCAAGCTTCAAATCAGAAGTTGAGGCAAAAATGCACTTTTCAGACTGAGAGGAGCTCAATTTGGCCTCTCTACTTGAAATAGACAAACCGTTAATGATACAGCCATGATCTTTTCTCGCAATCATTTTGACCTGAAAACTAACAATATAAAGTAGATTTGAGCAGATACTTTTGGTTCCAAGCTTCAAATCAGAAGTTGAGGCCAAAATGCGCTTTTCAGACTGAGAGGAGCTCAATTTGGCCTCTCTAGCTAAAACAGACAAATCGTTAATCTCAGAATTGTGACTTTTTTCTCAGAATTCTGACTTTTTTTTCTCGGAATTCTGACTTTAATCTCAGAATTCTAACATTTTTCTCAGAATTCTGACTTTAATCTCAGAATTCTGACTAAATTCTGACAGCTAACAAACATGTTAGTATCAAGCCGTAGCCATGTCTGTTTTAGAGCCTAAACTAGCTGTCTTGTTTTAATGACCTTCTGCTCCTCCTTTAATGAAATAGCATCACCAGGGACCCCTCAGGCACTTAAAAAGTCGCCTAATTCCATCATTTTCAACTAATGTGTTACTGGCCCTCCCAAACAACTCACATCTTTGTCAGTGAAGCTGAGTGCTCCCACATCTCTTCATTCATGGTGCCCATCTACATTAAGATCCAAAATTCTGAGATTAAAGTCAGAATTCTGACTTTTTCCCCCCATATTAAACTGAAATAAAATTTATAAATCAGTTAACTTTTTTTTCCTTTTTTTTTGGGACCCTAATCCTCTTCCATATTTATGCCAGTGACATAATCTTAAAAAAAAAACTAATGCTAATTGAAGGCCTGATATCAGGCTCTCAGAATGATCACATGATCAAGAGATCCTTTTAATTGGGCATTTTGGCTAAGTTAAAAGCATTCCAATATAGGGCACTTGATAATTGGTCAATTTGTTTGTTTTTGCATTATTGAACCACTGGTCAGCATTTTGAACCTATTAGTACTCAAAAAAAAGATGCATTCAAAGGTACTTGAGTATTTCTGTGAAATTTTCAGAGTAATTTTAAAGAACCTTGAAACCACCCTGCCACATATTCTACACCATCTGTGAAGAACTTTAGCATGAAAATTATAAAAAAAAACAACAACAACAAGAACAGCTATTTTGATCTTTATTTGTTATTCAAACAACAAACAAAAAGAAAACAAGTGTCTTAATTCTCCTCACACTTTCACTATGGAATATAAATTTAAAGTTGAATCTATGAACACAAAGAAACTACAACTCTGCTTTGAGAACTCATCCAAAAGGTGACAATTAACGCCTTAATAAAATTATAAACTACAAATATGTGTCCTATTTGTCGTATTTGTGGATTGTCATGCAAGTCTCTAAAAGAGTGGATTCCAAATTCAGTCCTAAGAGCTGCTAGCTTTCATGTTGGAATTGCATGTCAAGAAATAAAAACAGCAACAGCAGATTAGAAAGCTAAGCTCAGCTAAAAGTAACAGGTAATGAGCGACTTCCTCAAAATGGAGTGGAATAGAAAGTACAATATTTGACTTTGAAATGTTGTAGCAAGTTATAAGTTTTGGTTGAATAGACTTTTTTTATATTGCCCCCTGCAATTTCTTCCACTAATTGAAATGTCTTTAAATACACATTAACATTAATTAAACACACTATAGTAAACAGATAAATGGAGGCAGAAGATGTCTTTCAGTCATCAATGCAAACATTCAGCCACACACAGGAGCTCTTTCAAGCTGGGCACAGTTTCATTCACAACACCTGTCCAGTAAACGAAGAATTCCCATCAGAAATACTTTAAAAATCCCAGGGAGAAATTACTATCGTTACACGACTCCATCTGTAATAGAGTGACTATAGGACCAGTTTGATGTAACACAATTTCATACTATATATAATTAAGGGGTCCCTGCTCCATCTCGCTATCAGTTTGGGGTCCTTGGCCTGGAAAACGTTGAAGACCCCTGCTTTAAACCAATCCCTTAGTGTAAATCTATATGAGCTGTACCTTTAGAGTCAAATGTCACAAATAAACTTCTCACTTTTTAAATTTACTTGTACACCCAACATGACTGGGTTGTTTCTTTATGAGATAATTTTATTGATAAATAGATTTCTCCTCTTACACGTGCTTCAATAACTGTGAAAGGACAGTTGTTTACATGTAGAAACTACTGACTGAGCATCCAAAAGTAAAGATAATAGACAGCAAATCACAAAGAGGAGATAAAAAAGAGCAAATTCCAGGCACAACAGTAACAATCTAAACCTAAATGAACACTCCACGCATTTCTGTTGTTTTCTTTTTAATTGAAAGCATACAGCTGTGTTCAGGAACTTCAGTTCACCTTCAGTTTGATGCAAATATACAATGCGAACATACCTACGAAGCAAAAACTTACTTTATACACATCACACCTAGTTTTTCTATGTACAGCTATTGGTTAATGTCAGTTAAAAACATTAAAATAAAAATTTATCGAGTTTCAAATAAGTGTCTCTTCAAAACAGAATTAGCTGCATTGTGTACGTTTGTAAGCACATGCAAATATGGAGAGGATCATGCAGCGGGTATAAAACAAAAGCAAAAGGAAAAAAAAAAATAAATTACTTTATACACATTTCAATTTTGTTTGCATGTTTGAATGAATAAATCTTTTAGCTATTAGTGCGAGTTAACCTCTTTGTTCACATTACTGGAGAGATTATAAACACATTCAGATCAGCTTCATATTCCTCGAAATCTGGCATCAGTGTACCTTAGGTTTTAGAAGGATAACATTCAATATTTAAACGGTATAGCAGTACAAACAAAATAAGAGAGGGATTTACTAACACAAGGAGAACGTAATAAACACTGAACACAAATACAGACAAGGGTCAAATTGTGTAATTAGATAATTTTATCCAAAAAAAAAAAAAACTTTATTAGAACAGAATCAAAACAAAATAACGGAATGTTTTTAAATATTCCTTTATGCTCATAGCTTTTTTTTTTTTTATAAATACCACACAGATGTACCCCCCCTCCCAAACAGCAGCTCATCCATACACACGCTCCAGCATGCCTTTTAGAGGTAGGAAAAGGGTGGCGGTGATTGGGTGTACTGGCATCATCAACAGTAAAACACTGATCTACTTCAACTGGTGGCGAGCAAGATGGAGGCTGCGTTTCTCCCTTCAATCCAACATCATACTGCAACTTTATGTGTATTTCTCATTTAGCCATGCACAATTAAACCCACACAGGCTGAGAAATAGAGACATGGTGAAGAAAACAGGCAGATTTGAAAAAGAGAATTCCTGGGACTATCTTCTATATTTAAGCAAAGCTGGTTTTGCATCAGTGTTAAGTGTTATTTCCCCACATTCTGTTTTTTTTTCCTTCAGTTTAAGCACTGCAGCTAGATGAGGCAGAGGGCCAAGCATTCAGAGCCAATCATTATTTAATCTCTGTGACCTGTCCTACCTAAAGGTAGATTTAGACAGCTGTATGTGTTAGTAGAAGCAGGGGGAAGATGGAGCATCATTATGGGTTTTCAACTTACAGCAAGAATGATAAGAGTGCAAATAAAACACGTGCCCCATTTGAGTTTTATGACACACTCAAGTCTTCATAATGAAACAGAGCTTTGTGTGTATGCATGTGACAGGTGGAGGGGGCATTAGACCAGACAGATAGAAAGCACAGGTAAGCAACGTTTTACAACGATGGGAGGCATTCTCTGTCTTGCTGCCGCTCCCCTGAAGGAGCAGGTTTAATCACGGGAGCGTCCCACAATGGCCAGGATGTAGAGGAAAATGTTGATGATGTCAGTGTAGAGGTTGATTGAGGCGAAGATGTACTCCTCTGGACTGAGGGCCAGTTTCTTGTTGCCCAAAAGAAGCTGGGTGTCGACAGCCAAGAACTGTGAAAAAGGAAAATCAAGGAGACATTAGATGTTTAGTTGTTTCTCAAACATAAAGAAACTTCATTCAAACTGAATTTTTTTTTTCTTTGAGGATTAAACTTCAGCTGATTCTAAAATCTAAAGGTTTGCAACCACAGATGTCGATTTACAAGGATTGTTTTTTTTTTTCCCCTTTTAAAACTTTTTAAATTCAGAGTCAAAGTGAGAAACTGCTTGGTTTATCTGTCAATGGAAACTCAGAAAAGATAGAGTAAAAAAAAGTTACAATATTTACAGCAAATATGAAGAATGTGAAGAGATGATAAAACCCATTTGTTTAAATATGAAGGGAAAGTGTCTGAATCTGGTCACATGGGGAGGGTAAATACTCCGAGCTCTGTAAGCTGGGAACCTAATCCCAGCGGGGGATGTTACGCTCTCCTGCTGCTAATTTTACAGCTGTTACCAGAAAGAAAAATAGCTAAAAGGGGAGGTAGAACTGAATAACATAGGCGAGCAACTTCAGCAAGTAATTAAAATGACATATCAACAAAATGAACCTAAAACACTTTAAAAAAATCCATATTAAACATTCTATCGGACTTTTATGTGAAGAAAGTACAGTTTAATTAAATGGTTTAGTAGCAGGAAAATCCCTGTTATCACAAATTTTTAGCCATCTAGGAAACACGGGAGGTAAAAGAGTTGTTTAAATTTAACGCCGTGGCAGTTTTAGTTGCCCTAAACTTACGCAGGTGAACAGCAGAGCCCCCATGGAAGCGTAGACGATGTCCAGAATCTTGTTGCGGATGAAGATGCAGAGGATCGAAAAGAGCAGTAGCACAATGAGGCACACAAAGAGAACGCCCCGACAGGAAGTGAAGTCATATTTGCTCTGTGGTCAAGAGAAATAAATAAAAAACAAAAAGATTTAGAGCAAGTGCAGGATTCTCAATAAAAAAAACAACAACTAGACAAAGAAAGGGAGATCAGGAACAAATAAGTTAGTGAACAGATGGATGTGCAGACCTGCAGTGAGAAGAGGACAACTGTGAAGCAGACAACTGCCGTAATGCCCACCGCCATGATGACCGTATCTGTGTCGTAGAAGCTGGCGATCATGCCCACCATGTAGGACATACTCAATGTCAGGATGGACTACAACAGGAAAAAATAAAAAAAAAGTTAAAGATACACCGTATATGTCATCAGTTCTCGCATTTATCCTCTTTTAGATATTGGATCCTGATTTTACCAAAGCAACAAGATTCCAGGGGTGCTTGCGACGGAAATCGCCACAGCAGGTGATTGTGATCAGAGACACGAAGAAGACGGCGTAGGACACGTAATAAGTCCAACGGTTTCTTTGCACATAAATCTTGGCCTCATCCACAAATGTGAAGATGGCAACAAAGGAGAAGGTGACCAACAGCTGCGCCGTGAGGACAGAGAACACCTAATGGAGAAGAAAGTAAAAGATTAATAAATATACATTGGTGTAGAGCCATAAAATATACAAATAGTAATGATTTTTATTTATATATTTGCATCATTGACATTAATTTACTCACTTTTCTAATAAAGGCTTGTCGAATGTTCTTGTCCTCAAAACCTCCTCTGGCAAATTCCTCATTGTCATAATAGGATGGAGGCACGTCGCCATGATAACCAGGGCTGCCTGCAGGTGCTGCAAAATAACAATGACAAAACAAAAGTTTTGGGGAGGTTTTAGTCACATCTCTGACTGCCTGTTTTTCTTAGATAAAATAAATATGTGACCCCTATGGAGAGTAATGAGTGCTGCAATCCAAACAATAAATTACTAATGAAATCACTGGAATATGAAACAAGCAAATTGGACACATTTAGTTATGATAGCAGCCGTGTATCAACGTCTGAATGCAATACACATTATGAATTTAAGGTATTTCCGACTTTTTAAATTTGCAGCAAATGAATCCATCCACAGGGGAACATTGAGGTCAATTTATTTTACAGAGAACAGCTTTAAGAGCAAGGTTTAAAATTTTCTTTTAAATTTTCAGCCTTCCCAGGTTATTGACCCACTTCAAAGCACAAATTAATAAACCAAGTTTTTTGGCTGATTTTCCTAAACATGTAAGGCCTTAATTATGTAGCAAGACAAAACCACAGCCTGTAAAGAGTTAATCAAAGGCATAAGTGGACAGATTGATGGATAAACAGGTGAAATAAAGGTTCATGCCACTAAACATTGCTGTTTACAAGCTTTGTATCAGAAAACTCACCCATAGGGTCATCATGAAAACTGGGCTGTCCGGGCCCTTGCTGGTAAGGCCCTGGACCGTAGGGGCCTTGTGGATAGGGCATCTGTGGATAGGGGCCAGGGGCAAACCCTGGACCTGCTTGGGCGAAGCCAGGCTGTCCATAGCCAGTAGCTGGTGGGTAAGGCGCCCCCGGGCCTTGGCTGTAGTTGGGAGGGGGCATACCAAAACCTGGTTGAGGGGGGCCATAAACGTTGTTATGAAGAGGGTTGCTCTCCCCCATAATAGGAAATCCACTTTTGTCCTGGGACATGGTGAAGTAAATTACTCACTACTGCCACAATCTGTAAAAATAAACAAAAAAACCAAACATAAATATGTATTAAAGCTGGCAGTTTGTATGACATGTTTCCACAAGTATAAGAGCTTAAGAAATATTATTTAAACTCCTAATCAAAGGCTAATTTATCCACCTGAGGTTGAGGACATTAGATCAACTAATCTCCTGTATCCTCTGCCCAACATATTATAATTGTTAAATATTTTTGCCATTTCAAACCATGGTTCATGTTTGCCAGATTAATACAGTTTATGGATTTTTCCTGGTTCCTCTTCAGCCTCTGTAGGGGCAACATTCTCGGGTAAAGATGCTTTTGTTGACCAGATGTTTAAGAGAACTCATTGCTTACCAAGTAAAAACTGATTGAAGCCTCGCTAACATTTCAAAAGAATAGAGGATCAGGCTGACCATGCACTAAAGTAAAGGTGTATAGAGTACTAAGAAAAAAAAACCCATTTAAAATAGGGCTGGGTATCAATTCAATCCCTATTTTCAAATTTGGAATCGATTCTTTTCAATCCAAACTTGGATTATTGTTCTTAAAAGCACTTTTTTAAACTGTTGCTAGAATGATATGGCTGTATAGTTATGCATAATGTTGATACAAGTATAATATAAACATTGAATTGAAAATTAATAAAGCAAATGTGGCTGTAGGGACAGTGGAAAATTCATTTTTTTTCCTAAATTGATCTTTGCTTATACAAAGAATTTACATGAGAATCACCTTAACAGAAAATGACTTTGGTAAAAGTGAAAGTGACTGATAAGAAAAGCACTAAAGGAAAAGTCATAGAATTGTTTACAATAATAGGGAAAGTGAAAGTTCTATTTTCGTCCATAAAAAGAAGCAAGGTAAACTGTTTTTGTTGGTTCCTTTACATCCCTTGGGTAAAAACATTGGATGTTGGATTTTGAGGGAAAACAAATAACCACGTTAGCCCCAAGGAAAACACTATTGTCCATAAGAGCTCAGAACACTAAAAAAGCTGTCGTGCTTGTCAACAGCTGTGCTGTCGGCATGAGAAAACTAAAAGTTTCTTCTGTCAGAATACAATGAAATATGTCCACTGTTTCTCAGAACAACGAAACAGATCAGCTAAAGTGTCAAAATAAGTTGTAAGTAACACAAGAAAAATCCTACACTTTATTCCATATAATGCAGAATTGTTAAGTGGTAATTTGGGTATTTCACTTTTTAGGACAATATCTAGAAAGAGTCATTATAAAAAAAAAAAAAAAAAAAAAAAAAAAAAAAAAAAAAAAAAAATGTGATGCACTATAGCCTCGGCCAGTATGGAGTGTGGACCTGGACTCATATACTGTAAAGGGTTAAATGTACTTAGGTGATCTACACCTCATTCATTTCCCAGATTTACACTCAGTCCCAGAAAACCTGTTGCGTTCCCAGCTCTGTATTGGCTAAAAGCGCTCACACTTGACAGATAGATGTAACAAATAAAAATACAGAATAAAACTGTAATTTATTAGCCACAAGACAACCCATCCATAACATTATCTCACAAACCCTGCTGCCACCTCATCAGGCACAGTGCTCAGTTTAGATGTATTTACCAAGGGGAAATAAACAAGATTTTTTTTTTTATTAAAACAGAGCATTAAGAATAAAAAAGCAAGGGCATTTCCATTTAGCATCAGATCAATGTAGTTTAAATCCTGTTTAGAGGTTGTGTTCGCTCTATCTTGGCCTTCACCTTGTTTAGACTGTACTGAGTTTACAGTGAGTGTTATGCAACACTTCTCCATTTTGCCTTGGCATATGCATTTGAACTCCAGATCCACTGCATCAGGGCCACTTTGCAGCACACAGCTTCAAACAAATACCTTGCTTTTGCTGAGAGGATTGATTCAAATCCTTCTAGATTTGTATTCTGCATCTACAGTAGTAACCATTCAACATTTCCCCACTTTTCGTGATGGGCCCTTGGCTGGTCCTCTACAATTCCTTTTTAAACATCAATCTTTGTACTAAAATATTCTGTCATGATTTGTGGAAATTAAAATCTAAAGAGAAGCATCATTTCCAGGTCAGACCCTGTAATTCAGTGAAAGGGTGGAGTCAGAGTAAAAAAAAGGCATGCCCAGGAGAAGGTTTTGCTGGGAGTCGCAAGGTAGTGGGCAGCCATTCGGGTGGCGTTTGACTGGGAAGAGCCATTTTGAATAGCTTCTACTGTAATGAGCCAGATCCCGCCACAGACAAAGGTTGTGCAATTGGTAAGTTGTGTCCATTAACACAGTTCTTGACCAATCAACCAGCAGTGTCAAACTGTCAAACTAGGTAACCAAATTTAATCTGCTAAATCTCTATAGAACAAACAAGTTCAGACTTTAAAACACTCATAAGAGAAGGTATCATTTAAGTTATCTAAAAAGCTTGTCAATATACAACCACAGAGCTGTAAAGTAATCCTGTTGCATACATAAATGAAATCTCCACCCAGTTCAGCGTCCATGGACAGGACATTGAATAGGTGGTGTGGGTGTTCTAGTGACAAAGAAGCAAATACATAAAGAAAACTAATCAGAAAATAGTATAAACAGTTACTAAAAGTTCTCAACAAATCAAGGATAATTCTGTCATCTTAATTTTCAAATTTGTTTTATTCTTTAAGTAAAACCCTTAAAACAAAAAAGAACCATCTTTATGTTTAAGAATATGTGGCAATGCTATTATTAAATACCAGTGGATTCATCAAATTACCATTAAAAACATACAAGTTATTTTATCATTATTTCATTGAACGCATTAATTATTTTATTCTTAACATTTTCCCTTTACATTTAAAACTACCAACAGGTTTTCCATCTTGAAATATGTTTTTGTTTGTCAATCAAAAACAGATTGAAATGTTTGTCACTGGGATCTTTTTTTTTTGACAGGGTAGAAAACATAGAATTTCTTTGAAGGGAAAGGAGAAATATTTCTACATACAATTGTTTCTTTAAACAATAAAGATTTTAAACTAAAGCTGTATGCACATTCATCATCTCTGGTCTACTCTTGCCCAGATAGATTTGAAAAAATATATAAATAAACACCAAAGGGATTTTGAATGTTGTCGTTACTCAAATCTTCACAAATACAGGTGCTGGTCATAAAATTAGAATATCATGAAAAAGTAGATTGATTTCAGTAATTCCATTTAAAAAGTGAAACTTGTATATTATATTCATACATTACATACAAACTCATATATTTCAGATGTTTATTTTGTTTAATTTTGATGATTACAAATGACAACAAATGAAAATCTCAAATTCATCATATCAGAAAATTAGAATATTACTGAAGACCAATAAAAACAAAGGATTTATAGAAATGTTGCCCAACTGAAAAGTATGAACATGAAAAGTATGAGCATGTACAGCACTCAGTATTTAGTTGGGCCTCCTTTGGCCTGTATTACTGCAGCAATGCGGCGTGGCATGGAGTCGATCAGTCTGTGGCACTGCTCAGGTGTTATGATAGCCCAGGTTGCTCTAATAGTGGCTTTTAGCTCTTCTGAATTGTTGGGTCTGGTGTATTGCATCTTCTTCACAATACCCCATAGATTTTCTATGGGGTTAAGGTCAGGAGAGTTTGCTGGCCAATTAAGAACAGGGATACCATGGTCCTTCAACCAGGTACTGGTAGCTTTGGCACTGTGTGCAGGTGCCAAGTCCTGTTGGAAAATGAAATCTGCATCTCCAAAAAGTTGGTCAGCTGCAGGAAGCATGAAGTGCTCTAAAACTTCCTGGTATGTGGCTGCGTTGACCCTGGACCTCAGAAAACACAATGGACCAACACCAGCAGATGACATGGCACCCCAAACCATCACTGACTGTGGAAACTTTACACTGGACTTCAAGCAACGTGGATGAAGTGCCTCTCTTCTTTTCCTCCAGACTCTGGGACCTTGATTTCCAAAGGAAATGCAAAATTTACTTTCATCAGAGAACATGACTTTGGACCACTCACCAGAAGTCCAGTCCTGTTTCTCTTTAGCCCAGGCAAGACGCTTCTGACGCTGTCTGTGGTTCAAGAGTGGCTTGACACAAGGAATGCGACAGCAGAAACCCATGTCTTTCATACGTCTGTGTGTGGTGGTTCTTGAAGCACTCACTCCAGCTGCAGTCCACTCTTTGTGAATCTCCCCCACATTTTTGAAGGGGTTTTGTTTCACAATCCCCTCCAGGGTGCGGTTATCTCTCTTGCTTGTACACTTTTTTCGACCACATCTTTTCCTTCCCTTCGCCTCTCTATTAATGTGCTTGGACACTGAGCTCTGTGAACAGCCAGCCTCTTTAGCGATGACCTTTTGTGTCTTGCCCTCCTTGTGCAAGGTGTCGATGGTCGTCTTTTGGACAACTGTCAAGTCAGCAGTCTTCCCCATGATTGTGTAGCCTATAGAACTAGACTGAAAGACCATTTAAAGGCTTTTGCAGGTGGTTTGAGTTAATTAGCTGATTAGAGTGTGGCACCAGGGGCCATCAATTTTGAACCTTTTCACAATATTCTAATTTTCTGATATGATGAATTTGAGATTTTCATTTGTTGTCATTTGTAATCATCAAAATTAAACAAAATAAACATCTGAAATATATGAGTTTGTATGTAATGTATGAATATAATATACAAGTTTCACTTTTTAAATGGAATTACTGAAATCAATCTACTTTTTCATGATATTCTAATTTTATGACCAGCACCTGTAGCTGCTGATGGCTGCAGTGAGGAAGGATCACCTGTAGCAGCCTGTGTAAAGTAGATCTGGAGAAGCCTCTGACTAAAGACAATCTGTTGGTCGAAGGTCTGTAGGGTTCTCACTGGCGCATTTTTAGCGTTAAATTTTCAGTTGTCAAAATTACATTGTAATAAGGTGTTTATACTTTCAATAAGAATAACAGCTGCAGAAATTGTGTTTTAGAACCCTTTTAGGAATGAAACTTGTCTGTTTGAGGACCTTGAATCAGCGCTATGAAGTGGTGTTATTTTTAGAGATACAATAGCACTTAAAGGTATAGTGGAGGATGTTATTTTTCAAGGTGGATCATCAAAATAATATGCCTACCTAATTGTCAATTAATCTACTGATATCTTTACGAAATGCTGTTCTATGTGCTTGTTCCCATTTTCATTTACCAGTGGTAAATATAGTGGAAAAACTGAATAATCTTCTTTTGAAAAGTAAGCTTGTATGAGCGATGCAAACAGCAACTTTAAAAGAGGTTCATTAAGCCAAACTGGCTGATGATAACTTTTTTTTTCTACATATACAACTAAAGGCAACAAACTAATAAGGGTTGCTTAGCAAAGCGGAAGGAGACAGCTGCTTTAACCAATATCGAATAAAAAAAAAAAAATCACAACAACCTCTTCATGCCCAGTGTAATGAAGACATATTGATTGTTTGGAGTCAAAGAAATTTATATTATTCATAAGTAAAGAGTATAAGAGCTGAGAATATTTATTAAATCTGTAAAAAATAAAAATAATCTGACTAAGAGCTTTTTGTTTTAATGAATAATTAAATTAAATTAAATGCAAATAATTAGCAGCAACAATAGATTAACATGGACAAGTTTAACGTTTTTTTTTTAAAGAGCTAAATTCCAATGTCTGATAGATGTGTTTCACAGATCACCTGGCCCAATCCACGGTAGCCGCTAAAAATAAAATAAAAAAGAGCACCAATAACACAATGACTAAAGCAGAATTCCAGCATCAGTACGAACAGCTTCATCTGCTGATGTTTTGGAAACAAAGAGCGCTTTTCTTACATGATGCAAATATGTAATAAGCATTATTATGAAAGCGCCTGATGTAACAATTATAAGTTACACAGCATGTAGTAGTGAACAAAATTTAAGCAAAGATCATTCAGTTATGAGCACTGAAAGGGCATGCCCTCTCAGAGACAATTTGATCTTCCAAAAAACCACACAAGTTTCACTTCAGCGACTGAAAGGAGATAACTTAGAGTACGGCAGCCATTTTTAAGAGTCGGTTTAAATAGCTTTGATAGAGTTCTGGAAGATTATAAATCCTCTTAGGCAGGATGTTTTTTACCCACAATGCTGCCACTGCCGCCGACAGCAGTCCCTCAAGGATTTAGGTTAAAGGGATGGATTCAGTAGGCCAGTCAGTGAGAGAGCCAGGTTAACATAATTAGGTTAGTACAATACCATGACTACCTCACAGACAGTATGTTATATGGATGACCAAACCAGTCAGGCAAACATGGAGGTTAGCATACTTGTTAGTCCAACTAAAACAGGGAGTGCAGTCAGTAGAGCATGAGTTAGCGATATAACCGAAAGTAAAATGCTGTTTCACTGTCACATGATAAACTGTAAGCTAAGCCTGGTAATCTCTAAAGAAGAGGATGAGGTTGAATATGCTTGCTTTTTATGCTGGTCCCTATTCATACAATACCATATCCCTTTATTTATAAAGTGTTTTTAAAACAACAAAATTTCTACAAAGTGCTGTACATACAATTGAAAGCAACTAAAATTAAAACCGACAAGCTACATACAGACAAGCTAACACAGAGATAAAGAGTTTTTTATGTTAAAATAGTTTTAATTAAAACTTAATCAAACATTTTAAATTAAAACAGAAGATAAAAAAATGACAAAAAATAGAGTAAAGCTCCTAAGGATGTAAAAAAAAAAATAAATGTCTCAGCAAACAGGTGTGTTTTAAGACATTTACACTCAGAGAGAGGGGGGGCTGCCTGACATCTATTATTGCACAACTGAGGAGCTGCTAAAGCAGACTGAAATTGAATGACTGCCACAACCACTCTGTGTACAATAAGGATTTCTGTCAAACAATTGCTAAATTATCACCTGGACAGCATGAAAGATAAATGCCTCCATGGCTTTGCTTCTAGTGGAGAAGCAGCCAATGCAGCAGTCAGGGGAGGGAAATACTGTAATAGCAGTAGGCCTTGTCAGCAGTCACTGTGGCCATGCCAAGCCTGCAAAGACCCAGTGTTGCATCAGATGGCCGCAGTTGAATAGGTGGAGCTGTCTATGACAAGAAACTGTCACAACAGTTGATTTTAAAACATGATAGTGTTAGTATTACCAAATCGGTCATTGTGATAAACTATAGGGAAGCATTGACCTTCCTGCTTGACTGTATTCACTGCTTCTTCTCAGTAACAATATGAAGATTATACTTGGTTTGATTAAAATGATAAAGGATTGAACATAAAAACAAGAAGAATTTGTTTTAAATTAACCAAACCCTGCCATGGAAAGATTTTTATTTTTATTTGAACAAGTTTAGAAGCAGGGATTGTGAGCATATACATTTTAAACAAGCTTTAAAATGGTTTAAAAAAAGCATGATTTCAGACCTGGGAACTTCACATGACATCTGCTCATGGGTCTGATAATCAACCCTGACCTGATTATGTGAGCATGGGTTTTTTTTAGTTTCATGTAAGTAAAACGAACCGACTAAAAATGGGAAATGACTGACATAAACGCCATAAGAATGAAATTTTAAAATCCTAATCTATTGAATATTTAAATAGGTCTTGAATGCTGCTATAGTAAAGTGAACAACTTTCAGAGATTATGTCATGCATGTAATAAATGCATGTAATTAAAACTGGTAGGTGGAATATTTGATGTGAATTTATTTTAATATCAATACAGCGAGCCGGTCAGTACTAGTCTTTTGAGCAGAGATTTAAGATGAGGAACACAAAACTTGAGCCTTTTTTATCTTCACACAGTCAAGATTGGGCAACTGAAAAAAACAACAATTTGGCAATCTATAATCCCAATCCCACTTTAGCAGCTGTTTTAATCTGTACACTTAAATATATGATTAAAGCCTTGATTTCTTTTATGAAACTGGAATAATTTCTCAAGGGAATTAAACAGTTTGCACCAATTCTACTCATATTTTTTAAATAGTTATTCTAAAGTAATTGAATATTGCATACTTTAATATCCATACATCTGAACAAAGCTCACTGGTACTAAAGACAACATGTAGGTTTAATGAAAACAGGCCACAAGCAACAGGGAGATCACTGTCAGTGAAACCCCAATCATTTGAGTACGGTAGTTTTATGGCTGGCAGCCACTGCTAACCAAAACAGAAACACTGGCACAGTACTGCTCACACTGCAGAACGCAAATCTATGTATTGTAGGCCTCAACTGCGGACACAAATGCGACACTGCGGCCATTTGTGAGCATATATTCCCACGAATTACCATTGAACTGACCAAAGGGGTTATTTAAGTCACAGTGACACGCGTCACAGGAAAAAAACAACTCCAAACAGTTCGCCATGTTTAAATCCGCTCTTATTTACAGGACGGTTACATGTCGGACCCTCCTCTGTTTACGCTGATATGCTAGCGGCTTCTTTCACAACAAATGCAGCCGTTATCGGAATCCTCCATACAAATATACGACAACAACAAAAAATAGATATATGTTTTTTTATGTCCTGTGCTACGTGCTTTCTACATTGACAGATGGCAAAGAGGATGGACCCAAACGGTTTCCGTGAAGAAGCCAGCGGGTTGTCCTTTTTTTTTTTTTTTTTTTGCTTGTTTTTTTTTCTTCTACTTATTGTTTGCTATGGCTTAAACAAAATAAAATAAGAAAATAAATTCTTACCTTTAACGTGATTATTGTGAAGCAATTGATGAAACGAACTCCTTCGCTCCTCCTGGATTTCTGGAATCCGACTGAACAAGTGAAGGGGGCGGAGGCCGCTGACGTTACCGCCAGGAACGGTCACGTGGTCACCGGGAATCTCCGGTTATAACACCGAAAATTATGAAATTTCTAACCAATCGAAATACATTAGGGTCAAAACTTTAATATAACGCCCTCTTGTTTAAGGGGGGAAATGTTAGATAAAGAAAAGCTGCTTAAATGCAATTTCCTAACAGAAATATCTAGAAACACCAGGAAAGTACTGATCCGGGTCACGTGGTTTATTATGAGCGCTGAAAGCTTTCTCATAAGTGCGCAATAATAAACAATTATTATAAAACTCTATATCCCCTTGTCTTTTATTCTCGCAATAACCAAAATATTAAACGAACAATTTTGAATATTTTTATCTGTTCAGGTTATGAAGGGTGGGCTTTTACCCACCATAGACAGTAGAAATAATATATACAGGGGATTAACTCGGCACACTTCTGTCACATAAAGTGGAAAAAATATAATATCTTAAATTCAGCCATTATAGACTTTCAAAGCCATTAGTGAGATTAAAAGTCACACTTAAAGAATTAGAGCGATGCAAATGCATGTAAACCCTCAGAGATCCAAAACACAAAGACATAAATAACAGATTAAAAAAATAAATACTTAAATAAACAGCATTTTGACTCTCTAAACGGAACCCCTGACTTTGTATTATTTTTCTCATTACTACAATTTTTCCAAGCCAAATTTATGACTTTGGATCTCTAAGTTCCCTCCACGAGTAATAACTTAAGTGGTACAATGGGGCTTCCAAATTTGCCACTCCTTATATTGTTAAGTTATTTTTTTTTTTTTCAAAATAGCCATCATCAATACATTTCAAGGAACAATTTGAGAAAAAAAAAATCAAATTACTAAAAAACTGCTCTCTGCCAATGATGAGAGGAGTTTGATCAGTTGCCTTTTATGGCACCAAAGGCATGTATGGAAGCATGGTTTTAAGAGGGTAAGCAAACAACAACTTGAAACAAAAAGAAAAAAGTTCAAAAGTTTAGAACCAATTTTTAATAAAAGTCTGTAAAATTACTTTCTGCATGGAGTTTGCATGTTTTTTTCATTAATGCATGGGTCTTTATACCAAAATCGATTGCTTTTAAAAGAAAATACTTAAGTAAACCCACAGGAAAGAATTAAATGCTGCAGTTACCCATACATTTTTAAAGAGTTGTTCTACGTGATGATAGCTGTAAGCAGGAAGGACTTCCTGTAGCAGTCTGTCTTGTGAAACTCTTACTACTTACTTTTGTCCATAATGTTCTTCACTTTGTGAAATCATCTCCAGGGGTATTAAAGGAGTTCTTAGAACAGAGACAGTCTTCTTTATTAGCTTGTTGAGCTTTTGTAAGTCATTTTACTATAGCAGATAATGGCAGAAGAGTTCCCGCTCTCCACAGCATGCATACAAGATATGCAGAATCTTGCTGAAAACGCTAAAGAATCTAAGCTTCCTGAGGAAGTACAGTCTGCTCTGTCCTTTCTTGTAGACGGCTTTACAGTCGTGTATTCCGTCGAGTTTGTTGTCCAGGTGAACACCACGGTATTTATACTCCTCCACCACCTCCACTTCCCCCATGATGCCAATAGGTCTCAACTTGTTCCTGTTTCTTAAAAAGTGTACAATCATCTCATGTGTTCTTTTCACATTCAGAATCAGATGATTGTTTGCACACAATGCTAAAAAAAAAAAAGGTTGACCAGCTCCTTGTACTGAGCTTTTTGATCACCTCTGATGGACCTAGAACAAGACTGTTGGATTGGTTAGTGTCTCTAAATTGCATTTAGGATTTTTTGTGTGCATGGTTGTCTGTCCTTCGTTACCCTGCAATGGACTGGCAACCTGTCGTTGGAGTACGCTGGCCTTTACCCAAAAGACTGCAGGAGATAGGGACCAGCTCTGTGTGATTCTGACAGACAAGCTGTACAGAAGATGGATGGATTGTTTGATGATATGTAGATGTTGCAATAAAAATTATTTTCAAAATTCTCTAAAAATATTTTTTTCAGGACTGACTGCAGAACCGCCTTCAGGGCCTACAACAGGGGAAAGCCTTTGGACAGCCACATGGCAAGCTGGAAATTTCAGCATCATCTCAGATAAGCACAAACAGTAAATATATGGATCTCAGGTATTCAGCTTTTTCCAACTGCTCCATTTAGTCTGATTTTGCTCCACTCCACCATTTTTTAGACATTGTCATAACTGCTAGTTCAATACAAATACTTTTTTTCTGCCATCCTTGTTCAGGAGAAGGTATGATCAGAGTTTACTAGCCCCAAATAATGCTTTTGAAAAAGGGTAGCCCATCAGACAACAAAATTCAACCATGAATACACACTCACACCCAAGGCCAATCTAAAGATACCAATTACCCTACAGTCATGTTGGAGGAAGCTGGAATACCTGGAGGAAGCTGGAATACCCAAGCATGCACTGGTGACCTAGGCATAATGATCACAGTTGTAGTGGTTTTTCTGCATGCAGAAGAAAGTTTATTGCTGTTATGAACATAAAAAAAAAATCACAAATGCAAATTCTTTATTAAAATATCTGTTTGCATATTTTACAGTTCTTATGTGCTCATCTTCAACCCACATAGCTGATGGCATACTAAGAAGTTAAACCATTTTGCCGATGGGTATGTCTTTAAATGGACTTAATCAGACTTTCAGGAATACCTAGGTAAGATAAAAAAGCACCTTTGGCTCCTGCTAAACTTGCATTTAGATAGATAGAGTGGTGCATATTCCACTCATTTCCACAAAAAATGAAAAATTACATGTTAAAATTCTAATAGCTTCTTCTACTACTATAAATGTTAAGATTCCATCCTCATAGACTATTCAAAAGTTATTATATACCTGTTGTCAAGCTAGATGTCTTCCTGTCATAACAAGAGGATCAAAGCCATCTTTGTTGTGTGTCCAAATACATGCTCCTTTTATGAAACATGCAGTATTATAAAAGCTATTGTTTATGAGTGTAGCTGCGAATAAGATTATCCAGTCCTGTCTTGTTGATTGTGCCGTATTCTTGGGTATAGCTGCCTAGTTTGGCCCGTGGGTCCCCAGCAGCAGCCACGTTACAGTTGTTCTGAAACACTTTTTTGCTGAACCGTGGCGGTGGACGAGCCTCTCGAGCCTGAGAACTGGGGCGCTGGTTCTGCATATAAAACCAGAGCAGCATGTAATTAGGTTTAGGAAGGAAAAAATAATAATAAAATGAAACAAAGGCTTTTTGATCTTTTAACATTTTTCACCTTTGAAAGACTTGGTTTTATTTGGTGTTATGGGATGACAGGAACTGAATATTGCATAATCTTAAAGTGGAAAGTATTCGATTTATTTGTATTTTTAATCAAATTCTTTTAAAAAAGAAGGTATATTTATGTATTCAGCCCACTAAACCAATACTTTGCACTACTTTTTACTGTAATTACAGCTTCTTAACTAGCTATGGACATCTAGAGTATTTTTTAACTACTATTGCTTTGAAAAAAGTTATTGCCATAAATTCCCAGTTAGATTAAGGTATGAACTGTTTAATCTATACCAGGGATCTACACCCTTTATAAACCCAAATCCTTCTTCAGTCCAGGTGTATCTAAACTGTTTAGAGCCACAAGTTTAAATTGTGTTTTGAAAAAAGCAGTTTATATTCTTTTGATAAAATCTACTATAGCAAATTTGCTGTATTAGATAAAAAAACATTCTATTTCTTAGGTTTTGAAATAATGAGATAATTTTGTGATATTTTGGTATTTGGCATGTTGATATTTTTGGAAAATATGAAAACAAAAAGGGTTGAAAGGTTCCAACTTATAACAATAGGAAAAAAAACACATCATCGGTAGTTTTAATGACATTTTTGTGTTGCCATTCCTAGTCTAGTAGAAACGGCTGCACCCTAGGTGCACCAATGAGTGTTCCCACAGATCCCTTCTCCCTTCAGCTGTTAGAATTGATCAGCATCTGCTCTAATAAACAATTAACATTAGCTCTAATAAAAAAAGTAACTGTGACCAGCTTTCTTCGCTTCATTTTAGAAGAATGATGCTTCCATGGTTACAAGCTGCATGCTCAGCTACTAGTTGTACCGTCTTCATTCTCTCAAATTCTCTCAAATGAGGCGTGGTTCTTTGCAGCTCCTCCAAAGTTAACATGCTTCTCTGATTTGCTTTATCAGCTGGAATGCATTTACTGACTTTGAAACTATTTTTAAATGAACTGAACTAAAAACATATTTCTCTGTGTAAATTCTCAGTCATCTGAGCCATGAGTTATAATATGTCTGTAATATATTCTGTAATACATTTCCCTATATAAAATTTCATATATCAACTGAATTTAAGCAACAAGGCATGGTTGCACTTTGTGTTATTTAGGAAAATGGGGGTGGGGGTGGGTGGTGCGCTGAGGTCTAAATTTAAGCTGATTCTTCTCCGAGTTTTAACTGTTAGACATTTTTTCTAAAATTATATATCTTTTTCCACCTACTTCACAATTATGTGCTAATTTGTTTTAGTATCACAAAAAAATCTCAATACAATCCACTTAAGACAAAAGTTTTATAGAATATTTTGTAGTTAATTTTGCATTTCTAAAATTCTGCATTTCCCACAACCCAGCCTTAGATAAAGCTTGGAAGCAATAATAAGGTGATGATAAACCTACCAGTCGAGCTGAAGAGATATGCAGCCCAGCAGCTAAAGATGTCTCATCTTTACGGACTAGAGGGTTGTTTTTGGTTTGGTTTAAGGCCCAAGAGAAGGAGCGGTTGTGAACCACAGCAGTTGAACGACCCCGCTGGAGAATCTGATCCATGGACTAGGAAAAAAATAAGATGAAGAGTGAGGCTAAAGCTCAGATAAAACCTATGTGAAAACATTACTTAAAAATAGACAAAATAAAAAAACTTAACAGAAACAAATTAGGGTTATAAAAGAGACGATGGAGTAATACTAGATGGAGAAGGTGCTGAAGTATGCTGCTTACTACCATGACACTGCTGCACTCTGCTGGTGGTTTAATAGGAGT